GAGATAGTGCGGATCAAGTTGATCCTACTGCGGCAGTCGTTCTTGATCGCCTTAAAGTGCTGCTCGAAGTTGAGGGACCGGTCAACAAGTACCCCCAGAATACGGACCGTCTTCTTCAGTGGTATGGGCTGGCTTTGAACTTTAATAGGTGGCCCGCTGACATGGTGCCGGGATGGACACACGTGGCACCTGACGCTTTTGGTGGCTGAAAGCTGGAAACCTACCGCGCTGGCCCACCTGGCTACAGCGGAGACTGCTGCCTGGGCCTTGATCCTGTTGCGTGCTGCTGTTGGGCCGGTAGTTACGATAAGTACATCGTCTGCATACACGAAAATGTGAACATTTTTCGGCAGTCCTCCGAAAACTCCGTTCATGGCCACAAGGAAGAGGGTAACGGCGATAACTGAACCTTGTGGAACGCCCGTCTCTTCTCTGAAAAGCTGGGACCTCGTGTTGCCCACTGCGAGTCTGAAAGAGCGATCGGTCAGGAAATTTTTGATGAAGTGGACCATGGACCCTCTAAGACGAGGGGCGTCCACGTCCTGTTGAATGCCTTCGATATATCCAACGAGACGATCTCGGTGTGGTCCGCTATCGTTGGCACTCTTGAGGACCTCCCCTAATGTTGCAAAATAAGTTGACGTTCCGTACCCTTGACGGAAGGCGTGCTGTCGATGGTCTAGCAGGTTTTCGGCTTCAAGGAAATGCTTTAGCCTCCTGTTGACCATTCGCTCCAGGACCTTGGCCATACAGCATGTCACGGCTATTGGCCGGAACTTGCTAGCTTCACGGGTTATTTCATTGGCTTTTGGGATGGGAATGACTAAGCTCTCTTTCCACGACGCTGGATTAAAGTTGGTGAGCCAGAGCTTGTTGAAAAGCTCCAGCATCCGTAGCTGGCCTGGCGTTGGTAACCTCTTGAGTAGAGGGTACCCGATTTCGTCGGGACCCGCCGACTTTCCTTTCTGCCTGGTTGATGTCCGAGTTTCCAGCGTCAGAAGAAACAGAAAAACTTGCAATGGATGACGTCGAAGGCTTAGCTTTCCGCTTGAATTCGTCTTCGTACTTCTCGACTAGGTCGCCTTATGTCCACGCTTCATCCAAGAATTCGTAATATTACATGGACATGGACACCATGTTGCGTTTGCATGTGTGTGTGTGTGTGTGTGTGTGTGTGATATCGACAAAGAGTGAACCACTGAACCAGGTTGCTTCTGTTGAGCTTAAGAAGTAGGCTTTGCTTTTGTCTGTCAGTGTCTCGTGAAGAAAAATTGATAGTTCATCCAAGAATTTCTAGTATTTTAAAATGGAATCCGAAAATAATTCTTCTTCCTCAGGTGAGTACTCAGCTTGGCTTATTGCGAGGTCACTTTCCCAAAAAAAAAACATACATTTTCTGAATAATTTTAATGTCTAGAAAACATTGACCATCACTCGCTGTTTTTAGTATGGAGGGAGACTGAAGGCACGTCAAAAGCTAAACGTGACACTGTGGTTCAGAAAATCATAGTTGCGTATGATATTGATTTGGATGGTATGCCAGATATCCGATCAGAAGTTTCAAATGCTATGATCCACCTGTGCAAATATTTTGAAAAAAAAATGGTTGCCAAAGTTCTGTATGTCGCCTTCCGACCGCTGGTATCGGACTTTCAACATGGATTTCGTAGAAGCGATCTACGGCGACGAACCTGATGTCCTACGTAAGTCTCCTGTCTTCAAAAATCGAGAATCGACACCAAGTTGTTGCCATATGCTTCGATTTCTCGAAGGCGTTTGACAAGGTTCTTCATGACCTCGCAATTGACAAATTCAAGCAACTGGGCTCAGCGGCGCCGGTGGTGTAGTGGTAAGCGTGATTACTTCTCACCCCAGCAGGCCTGCGTTCAATCCCAGTCGGCGCCGCCGGGATGTTTTGAGACATAACATCTCTGATCACGCTTACCTTCGGAAGGGAAGTATAGCCGTTGGTCCGTTGGTTCATGAGCTGGTGGGTCGATAGGTAGGGTCCAGGTGTGGGAGCTGCCTCCCTGGCGTCGGTAGCATTGGTGCTCAGCACGGAAAACAAGATCGACGGAAAACAAACCAAAGGAAAAAAAGAAACTGGGCTTTCCTAATTGGATCACCGAATGGCTGCGCTCTTACCTATCCGGTCGGAGGACATTCGTCAAACTAAACGGTACTCGCTCCCGCGATTTTTCCATCACGTCAGGTGTCCCACAAGGAAGCATTCTGGGACCACTGCTTTGTATATTGTTCGTGAATGATTTGTGCTTTCGACTGAAATCGAGCCTACTGCTTTACGCAGCCGATCTAAAAATATACAAAGTGATATCATCGCATCTCAACTGCTCCCAAGCAACATTGCTAGTATTATCGAGGTTTTTAAGCATTCTACAAGACTAAATCATTGTCTACAGAACCCTCATAAAACCAGAAATGTTACTTGGGCTGTGCTCTTCATGTCGATGTTGACGAGCTTCTGATATGGTGCTGTGACAAAAGTGCAAAGTCATTTCGTTTTCTCGCCGATAATTCCAAACAGAGTTTGAATACTCCATCAGCTCAGAGGCTATACAACGTGTTCAGAACCTAGGGGTCACTGTGGACAGAAAACTCCGATGTTCAATTGTTCGCATCATCATGGAATATACTGTTAGTGTATGGTTGACATATCATGCACAGCAGATCATCAAAATGGAAAGGGTTCAACGTAGCTTTATACGGTATGCTCTTCGACAACTTCCGTTGAATGATCCAGTAAATCTTCCTGACTATACAAGCCGTTGCAAACTTATAGACATGGAAACTCTAGCTCACAGACGCACTCAACTTCAGAGGTTATTTGTATTTGATCTTGTCAAGGTTAACCTGGATTGCCTTTCACTGCTGCAGAATATTACCTTTTATGCACCTTCTCGACAGTTTCGTGAACGAGACTTATTTTTAGACAGGCAGCATTGAACCATCAATCAATACGAAACTAACGATTTTAAATTGGCTCACTACTTGACTAGCCTATTGGTCCCAAGCAAACGATTAACGTACCCCATTCTAGTCAGAATTCTACTACTCCCCAATGTTTGTTTTGATTCGCTATGAAAGTTTGACAGATAAAATGAGGGGTTCATGGATTTTCCTATATTTCGAGGGATGCATCGATAAGCTTGGAACGGACGGTAGTACCAGAGCTGAGCCAAAAAGTTGAGCACGTTATTTCGGGACCTTCTAGTTTTAGAGTTACCTCTATGATAGAACCACGTACGGGTATAACAACCCTATTGATAATTGTGTTAGGGCCTTTAACAATGTTAGTGCTGTCTTTGATTTTAATTTGTCCAAGTTTGTATTCGAAAGCAATACTTAGCTTAAGCATCAGTCTGTGGAGTTTTTTATAAATTCGAGACGAAGAACAAAAAATAAATAGATAAATTTCCCCTACACACTTAGACATACATAATTTTACAAGTGACGGAATCCATCTTTGACATAAAGGATGAGACGTAAACAAACAAGTTATGTAAAATTAAGTGCTTCGAGACTGAAAATTTCGTTACTCGACGAAAAGAACGTTTGATTGAGCTGAATTTCGCGTCTATTATGACTTAATTTTATGTCAAAATTGACGCTCATATATGTCAATCTCAGAGCACCTAAATTTACATGAATTTTTCTAAGTGTATACATAAGATTCTAAAGAAATAAGAATAAAACATTAGAGTGTACGAGGACTACTTAAAAAAAGAAAGATTTTTTCGGTGAACCTGACAATATTGAAGATTATTTACTGGCCACTAGGTGGCAGAATCAATATGTTGATGACATATATGCAGTGTTCACTCGGCTGTCGACAAAAGCAGGCCACTCTCGATGTGTGCTACGCGATCGTCTGTTTTCTCGGCAGCAACCATTGTGTGGTCCTCCTCATTGTTCTTCATAAGCAGTTCTTTCGGTCGATGCGTCGTCGACTTTGGAAAGCAACCGTTTCGTGATGAGTGTGTGAGTGCTGACCACGTTTTGTGTCCATTACTGCAATGGACGCACTCTGACCCTCGTTGGCGTACAACAATTTGCCATACAATGAAACCACTGGAAGCGGCTCCAGTTCTGATGGAGGAGGCTTTTTGGATAGCGGAAGATAAAGTATTTATTGTGTTGTACCTTTTGACTATAGTTTTAAGATGTATTGTATAGTGACCAAGAATCCTCGGCTCTGTAAAGTTAATTCGGTTGAGCCTTATCAAATAAATTAATAAACAAAAAAAAAAAAAAAATGACATATATGCACTATGCTCAATATTCTGCCCATTTTGAAATAAAGCGTGTGTCTAAGACTTCGCCTTAGAATAATCAGAAGAATTAGAATATCCGGAAGGCCATTTAACGGACACCCGGCACCATAATCGATTATCTACCAGCTCCATTTAAATTTAGTGACTTATACCTTCAAAATAGGTACTGAATATCCTGAAAATTGACTATAGTATACCACATTTTCGATAACAAGCCAAATCAACATAAATCGACTTGGTATGGTAGATCGAGAAACTAAGCATAACCGATGTAATACGAGTTCTCTTTGAATACCTCAGCTTGTGAAATGTAAACGCAATAATTTAAAAAATGTAGTTTTTAAAATAAATCCTCGATCTCAACATCACAAGAAAGCAACGATCTGAAAATCAACCTTGAAGCTAACACACGTGTCCAACTCAATCCTATCCTATCATAATCCTCCAGACATTAGGTATACCTAAACAGTTCAATCCAAGCAAAACAACGTCCCGAAATTGTTTGTCAGTAGGAAACGCAACAATCTCCGATCATAATTCAAAACAACCGAACCGGACCTCTCACGCTTAAACTTGAAGCAATAATACGAATGAAAAAAAAACTGTTGCTCTACTCCACTAAACCAAAACTCATGACATTTAATCACCAATCGCGGCTCTGCTTTGCCCCTGCCCTAAGCTGCCCTGACCACTCACTTTAGCAAGATCGAGTGACGACGACCGATCGAGACCACCCGATCGCCACCACCTCTCAACGACTACGGCTACGGCACTCCGGCTCAAGTTCTACTGCTTTTAGTACACTCGCAGCCGCACTCCTGATCGATTCGCACACTGGCGCACATTTCGCCGACCAGCATTGTGATCCGACTATTTGTTTGCTCCACTGAAGTGTTGTTTTGTGTTAAATCTGTAATTGTTCGTGCAGTGAAAGAGTGTGATTCCGCGAGATCATGATGAGTCAACTGAGTCAATCAAGTCGCTTCGAAATCTCCGACGACGCGGATGAGTTGAACCAGGAGATTGACGATACCAACTTCCCGCGTAGCAACTCCATCTCCCTCGGGAATGGATCCCTGCCGGAGTTGAACGGCCATGGCAACGGTAGTCCGTCCGGCGCTGCCGCCGCCGCCTCCACCGCCGCTGCCAGTGTAAGCGTCGGCGGTGGAACGACATCGTTCGCTGCCAGACGTCGATCCAGCAGCGTCCGGAAGGAGGAATCCGTCGAAGATCACGAACTGTCCGTGGCAAGCATCGGCTCCGGAGTGAACCGGGCCCATCCGGTGCCGCTGAGGACGTCCAGCTTTTCAGGTGAGGTATTTGAGGGCGGTACGGTTCCGAGCACACCACGCACCACGCTGATACCAGGTAGATACTGAGAGTTTGATAAAAATTACTAGGTGTTTCCGAGCATCCCTAGCCAGTAGAGCCCGCCATTCGTCTCCATTGTCGCCTTAAAGGATATTGGTTTCATCGGTTTATTGCTCCGACGGACAATCAGTTCCACATGTTTTGATCGATGTTGATGTTGTTGTTTTTTTTTTTGCTCTGTTATGTTCCATTCGAATGCACTTCATGGGTTGTGTGCTTGCTAGCTAGTTATGTGTAGGAAAAATACGAGAATTATCAGTGTTGTTTGTTTTAGCGCTTGGTTTCTTATTTCATACGTCTTCGGGAGTTTGTTCGATTCGAGTCAGCTACAGAATTTAAAGGTTATCGAATCAATTATTTGGTTGGTCGAACGCTTTCAAAAGTGACTAACTGACTGAGTGCTGCGATGAGCGACTTCCTGATTGTGATTGGCTGGGAGGTAGAATGGAATTACCAATGAAATAAAATTATTTGATTTGTTGAACAGGTTTTAGGAAATTTTATTAACTTGCTTGAACTAAACTGCCTACCTCCATACCAACAAATGAGTAGCAAGCAGAATGATAGGTTATGCTCAAGGAAGTCGGTAAATTTTCCAAACCAAATAGATCGTAGAGTGGACCAAGAATGGCTTGATCTTTCGCCTCATCCGAGGCCTCTACTGTATAAGCCTTGCAAGTTAAAATAATCCTGTTATTCTTTATGGAAGACCTATCCTACCTCGGTTTTGCTTTTGAAATAGGCTTATTAAAACAGGTATGCACAGTAGACTGATGCAAATTTTGGAATTTTCGCTCCACAGTGCTTAAACGGTTCCAAATTGGGTCCCACTTGGCACAAACCATTTCAAGTTAATATGGGAATTACTATGGGAAAACTTATGTTTTTGTTCATATCTCTCACCACATCACTATGCTTTTTTTATAGCAGTGATTGTAGTAAATTTTCTCAGCTACAACTTTGTTGAAAACTATTTTTCAATCAAATGTAAGGAACAAAAGTTATTAATGATTCAAGTCACTGATGTCTTATGATTATGCTCATTCAACTGTTAGGCAGGCAACATTGGTGTTTCTGGTGCGAAGAATAGAGCACAAATATCATGGCTACTATGTCACACTGCAGAATACAGTGTTGCCTACAGAACAGCTGAGCAGCACTTGATCATGCCATAAGATAATCAATCTCTTAAACAATTAATAACAATTTAATTTGACATTTGGCTGATAAACGGTATTCGGCAAAGTTGTAGCTTAGAAAATTTCCCGTAAGAATAGTTATAGAAATTTTTGAACAAGCAATATGGAAAATGGGTATAAGACAATGAACAAAAAGTTCTGTTTCCCATAGTAATTTCCATATAAACTTTGAATAGTTTGTGCCAAGTCAGTTTCTTACCAAATTAGTTTAAATTTTGGGAGGCTAATCAGGACCTGATTTGAAACCGTTTGAGCACTGTGGAGCGAAATTTTCAAATTTTGCATCAGTCTAATCCACAGATAGAGATTTTTCACGAATATACAAGGCATCAAATGCAGACTTTCTGCAGAGTTAAGAAGAATTTTCACTTGGATTTGACATAGTTTCCGAGAAATAAGCATACTTAGGCCGTTCGCAATGCTGTTGTTTTTTATATGGACTGTTTCAATTTGAAACTAGAATAAAAACGCACCGCTCGCCATGCTGAGTTGCAGTTTCATTATTATTATTTCATTTGGTTTTATTTCTAAGCAAGTTTGAAACACGAAATTATTCAAATTTCTTTGGATGTATTTATTGAAGTTGAGAAGATTCCATAAAAATTTGGAAATTTTATAGAAATTTTGAGAACTTCTGAAAAGTTTGAGGATATTTTATAGAAGTTCGGACAACTTCATATAAATAATACAAAATCGAACAACTTCATAGAGAACAGTAAACTGTATGAAAATCATATTAAAAAAAAAAGTTTCAGGGAGTATCATATGGGTAATTTCATAAGCAATCGGGGAACATCATCGTAAGAATTTCATAGTACCTTATAGAACTTCATGGAAATCCATAGTTCTTCACAGAATTTTATGAAAGCGCTTGCGTCTTTTACATCAAGAATGTATTCCGTGATATGACACCATGCTGCTCAGAAATTATTCAAATGATCTTCTAAGATATCCATGAAGTCTTTTAGATATTTTTTCAAGTCTTCGGGTTGATCAGGTATTATTTTGAAAATATCCAACTATCCAACAATCTGTAACACATGATACCAGGCAGTTCAGAAATAAATTCCATGTGTTTTAAGATGTCTATAAAGTCCTCTGGATACTTTTTCGAGACTTCAAGTTGATCAGGTACTTTTCGGATGAAGATCTCAAACTATCCAACAATTCCAATCACATCTCCCAGATATTCTCTCATGATACCAGGTGACTCAAGTGAAAATATTCCAAAGACCTTCAGGTGATCAGAGATCTCTAAAAACTTCTCAGAATGTTCCAATGGCTTCAGATTGATTTAGTAAAATTCTGAAGATCTTCAACTGCCCAACAATTTAAATCAAGTCTCTCAGATGTTCACCCACGTTACCAGGTTGCTTAGAAATCGTATCAAAGGTGATCAGCGATCTCTATAAATATTACATATTTCGACAGTAGAACCGTCCGGGACCACTTCTCGTGTTTCAAACTGACAGTTGCAAAAATATACTTATGAACTTCTACATTGAAAAACATTGATTATAATCGATTTTCACTTTTCTTGTTGGTCTTTATTTAAGACATTTTATCACCGTGTAGTGACACCCGCAATAAGGCCCTTAGTGTACTAATATGTGGGTGTGATTATTAATGTATAAAGTACAATTCAAACTTCACAGCTTTTGTCTCCTTTGCTCTCCTTCTAGTTCGCTGTATGCTTGCTAATTGCATTTCATCTCTTGTTTTCACGTCTTCTTATCTATTAAATTCATCTTTAATCTTCTATCTTTTCATCATCTAAAGGGTGTCCGACACCAAATTGCATCACGGAAAAACACTATAGAAAGTTATCTAGTTGACCGATCCTTTTCAATCTTTCAGACAATAAAATATAACTCATTATAGTAAGGATAACGCATTAAAGGATCCATTAGTAAGCTTTTAGCATATTTATTTCATTCAACTTCAATACCATAACCGTACGCTCGCACCTTACGCTTAACTCCACTCATTTGGTTCTGTACAACATCTGACTGCAGCTTCTTCGGTACAGAAACCCACTTTTTATTCATGTCTTCCTCAGATTTGATCTCCTTGGGATGCTTCCGTAGTGGCTGCTTTATAATAGCCCAGTATTTTTCGATGGGCCTTAGTTCCGGTGCGTTCCCCCTTCCGTTCATTTTCTTGGGTACGAAAGTGACCCCGTTGGCTTCGTACCACTCAAGGACAACATTTGAATAGTGGCGCGAAGCTAGATCCAGCCAGAAGATCGCGAAGGCCCTCGTGTTGCTTCAACAGAGGAAGCAGACGCTTCTATAGATACTCCTTGAAGTAGATCTCCCCGTTTACAGTCCCGGTAGTCCGTTTGCCACTTAGCAGAACGCTTGCCAAATCATGTATTTCTTGTTTCTGCTTCCTTACTTCCTCCGGAACATCAAACTTGTGCTGAGCGGTGAAGATCAGTTCGGAAGTCCGCCTTGACTAAGTCTCATCAGTGTACAGTCTCCGGGCCCGTGACTTTCCCACCGTATTTTGCCGTTCGTCACGATTTGGAGCCTTCTGTACTTTGTACGTATGCAGTAGAGTGATGCAAAATTTGAAATTTTCGCTCCACAATACGATTCCAAATCGGATCCTGACTAACCTCTCAAAATTTGAACCCATTTGGTGAGAAACTGAGATGGCACAAACTATTTGAAGTTTGTATGGGAATTACTATGATAAAACCAAGATTTTTGTTCATGTCTATCTAATAATTCACCATATCGGTCTGCTTCAAAAGCTTTCAACTTTACTTGTAGGAAATTTTCCCAGCTACAACTTAGCTGAATACCACTTTTTGATTAAATATAAGGATCGAAAGTTATTAATGGTTCAATGCACTGATGTCTTATGATCATGCTCAATCAACTGCTCAGCAGGCAACATTGGTGTTTCTGGGGAATAGGACACAAAAATCATGGCTACTATGTCACACTGCAAAATACAGTGTTGCCTACAGAGCAGCTGCTTGATCATGTCATAAGTTTACCAATCTCTTAAATAATTAATAACTATTTCCTGTCTCGTTTTACATAGAAACGATCTTCAGCAAAATTGTAGCTGAAAAAAATTTCTATAAGAATAGCTATCGAGTTGTTTTGCAGCTCAATATGGAAAAACACTAGAAGGCAATGAACAAAAAGTTGAGATTTCCCATAGTAATTTACATGTAAACTTCAAATGGTTTGTGCGAAGTCTGTTTCTAACCAAATGAGTTGTAACCTTTGGAGGCTAATCACGACCCGATTAGAAACCATTTAAGCACTGTGGAGCGAAAAAGTCAAATTTTGCATCAGTCTAGTATGCAGTCCCTACCGGTCCTTGGCTCTCTGAACGAAAGACTCGGACAGATTCAACTTTTTGGCCACATCCCTGTCCGAAGCACTGGGATTCCGCTTAAACGCTTTCACGACACGCTTGTCATCCTGATCACTAATAGAACATCCATTCTGACCGCATTTCTCTTTGCATTTGATGCTCAGAGTTTCGTAGTAACGTTCAATCACACGACTCACACGATTCCGTGTTGTTTTCTGATGTTACGATGAAAGAGTTAAGGATTTTCCAGGTGCTTGCGCAAAATCAATTCGCGACGTTGCTTTTCGGGTGACGCCATTTTTTCCAACTTTCGAAAAACTGACAGCGATAAAAAAATACAGTGTAATCAATACACTACTTCTACCCAAATCTTCAGAAGAAAATACCGAATGAGTAATTTTCAACAGCGTTTTTTTTCGGTGATGCAATTTGATGTGGGACACCCTTTACTTTCTTCATCAT